AATGTCAAAGGGAAAAAAAAAAGGTGCTTAAAAGCCTGCTTTTTGGGAAGGAGCCTGGGTATAAATAAATAAATGAAACCCATACAAAGGAAAAGATGAAAAAAGAAATCAAAGATGGAACCTTCGCGTTTGGCCTGCTGTGTAAGTGGTGGGTTCTTTATGAGATGCTTTCAAGTGTTGATGTTTATGTGCTTGTAATTCCAGGCAGGAGAGGTGTTACTTCTTTTTTTTTTTTAAGCCTTGCCCAGCCCTTGGGTGGGGTGGTGGAAAGGCAACGGGCTTTGGAAACACGCCCGTCTACCTCGATCTAGCAGATGCTCCAAGCTAACATTTATTGAGCACTTACTGTATGCCAGCAGCTGATGAAGTTTTGTATCTGTCTTTGAGGGGTGCCCCCCTTTCACAGATGGGAGCTGAGGCACAGGGCAAATAAGTAGCTTGCCCAGGCTCAGCTCGTCGGTGGTCGAGCTGGGATCTGAAACCAGTAGACCAGCTTCAGGGTTAGGAGCTGAGTTAGCACCAGTGTGGGTGGGCGGATGGTGCAGGAAAGAGAAGAAGGTGGGATGACTGTGTGGTGTGGGCTAGGCAGAGAGGAGCCTGGCTTGGGAAGGGGGTACCCAGGAGGGCTTCCTGGAGGAGGTTGCCAATAAGCTGAGGCTTGGAGGTGCGTAGGAGTCAGCTGGGCATACTGAGGTGCAAGACCATGTAGAAGCGGGTTCAGTGCTAACTTGGGGCTCACTGGGAGCTGCATATCAGGTGCCTTCACATGTGACAGCTGCCAGCCCAGCCAGGACCCGGTTGCTCCCTCACTTGTTAGGAGATACGATGAATGCATGTCATGGAAGGTGCCTGGCACGTCGTAGGTCCTCAGGAAGCATTAGTGGCCCTCTGTGCTTCCTGTGGATGGGTAGGAACGTGGATTGTACATTTACTGTGACCTGAGCTTGCAAACGGGTGGCCCTGGTTGGCCCACAGAATTGGAGTGATGTGCTTACATTATAAATTGGGAGATTCCACACTAAACCCACATGTGAACTTTTTTGAAATCTCTTAAAAAGACCGGTGACTGCTGTCTGCATGTCCCGGTCTGCCCCCTGCCCCTGGCTATGTGAGGGGTGGCCATCCCCAAAGGGCAAATTGTGTTATCAAACACCCCTCGCCCCTTGGCTCTGTCTTTTGACCTGGGCTCCCTCCTTCCTCTCAACCTCCTGGCTTTCCCCCCAGCCCCGTGTGCCCCCCGTGTGGCCCGTGGCCACAGCACCCCTGGGAGGTGGACTTGGGTGCAGTGGGAACCTTTGCCATCCATTTCCTCGTTCCTGGCCATCAGGTTTTATGTGGACAAGGGCATCCCTCTCCAAACAGTGGCGCACACTCAGGAAATCAGTGGGTCCTTAGCCTCCTGGCACCGGGCCCCGTCCGTTTGAACGTCCACACCCATGGAGCACACCAGACGCTGGCTCTCCCGGGCCAGCAGATCTTTCTCCGTGACTCAAGGCAGCCGGCATTTCACATCTTTGAAGTGTTGGGCTTTCTGGCAAATGGATCAGTATGTTAAAAACCAGAACATTCCAGGGATTAACGGAAAGCCACTAAACTGGCGGAGTGGGGCCCTTGGGGAGAAGCCAGGGTTCGAGAGGAGCCTCTCCTTCCACATGTCAGACTGACCCTCGGAAGACAGTAATCAGATTTAGACAGAAAAGTCCTCAGGGATGGGGCCCGTGATCTCTGGGGAACCCAGGCTGTGAGAAGTAGAGTCCCAAAGAACCCTCCGTGGTTCAGCATCGGTGTGGCTGCACTGTGGGCTTCCAGAGTCCAGGCTGTCTGATCTGTCACCCGTATGCTTTGCAGAGTCCCAAAGTCCCTTCTCCAGATTCTTGCCATCTTTCAAGGCTTCATTCAAATGCTGCTTCCTCCAGGAAGCCTTCCCTGGTTCTTCCCGGGGTGCAAGAGAGCCACGCCCTCCCCTTCTTCCCTCTTTCTTCTCTTTGTCCCTTTGTGGGAACCTGTTTTCCCATCTCGGTTTCTCCCCTTCACAGAGGGTGGGCACATGCCCACCAGGGTTTCTGAACCAGGAGCTGAGCACTCATGGTCTCACTTAATTCTTAGAATTCCTTATGAGGCAGCTACTGCTGTCACCCCCATGTTACAGATGGGGAAACTGAGGCTTGGCAAGGTGAAGGGACCCCTCTAGGCCACGTGCCCATGTGTTGTAAAGTTGGACTCATGCCCCTGGCTCTGTGGTCACCGACCTGGACTCATGACCGAGGGCCCGGTCCTTGCTTCCCTCAGAGCTTTGCACACAAGCTCCTTTGGAATGTGCGGTCTGTCGAGCCAGTGCCTGGGCGGTTCTGGGAGAGCATTTCTCATTTATTAAGGTCAGGAAATCTCGGGTCCTGTTTAGTGTTATCTTTGATGTTCAAGGGCAGAGTGGAAATTTCTGTTTCCATGTGACCCCATTTCTGTCTTTGAAAACACTATTTCCTATCTCCCCGTGTCTTTGAGATCAGGCAGCAGGGCCCCCTGGGAGCATTTCCGCGTGTCCGCCCCTCCGCCCTCCCTGTCGCTCCGGCCCACGGCCTGTGTCCTGGGGAGCAGACGACCCGTGTGGCATCTTTCTGAGCCAAGTTACGGGCTCGTTGTTGTGGCTCACCCGCGCCATACCCGCTGCCTTTCCCTCTTTCCCAGGCCGTGAACGTGACCATACCCCCGACCGCCTAGACCTGAAGGGAACCCCCTGGCCTGTCTGTCCTTCTGTGATGTCGGCACAGGAAGTGGGACTTAGGCCTTTGGGGTCTCCGCATACACCCCGCTCACCGGGCCAGGGGTGTGCCCCCCTTGTGTCCGCGGCTTCCGTGCAAGATCCCCTTCCTGCTTTCTTTTTTCTGCCTTCAGAAAAGCTTTTTGCAGCCTAAGTTGCTGCTCATAACGCATCAGCTCGTGGAAGTGATGGCTGAGATGCGGCCGCTGGCCTGGGAGCTGGCCGAGGGCCCCCCCGTGGGCATCTGCGGAGTGTGGCCGGGGGAGCCCAGTGGGGGCACGTCTTAAAACCCTACTCGTGCCTCGGCACACGGGAAGGTGCTGAGCGTTCATGTGCGTCTCGTGCAGAGTTAAGCTAAGTGTATGGGGACAAGAAGACGACTGTGCGTGTGGCCTGCTCCGGGGACGCGCCCCGGGGGTGTTCATCGCGGTCGACCGCGGGGACGGCTTCCAGCTTGCAGGCTGGGATGCTGTTGGCAGAGGGTCTCCTTTTTCTTTTGTTGTTGTTGTTGTGGTAAAACATACATAACATAAAATGTATCATTTTAACCTCTCGTGGGTGGGTGTTTCCATGGCATGAAGTCCACTCACGGGGTGGCGTGATCGCCCCCTCGTCTCCTGAAGCTCTTCCTCGTCCTGTGCTGAGACTTCATCCGCGTGAACATGAGGCTCCGCCTCCCCCTCCCCACCTCCTGCTGCTTGACTGGATGTCTGAGGCTCTGTGACTCTGGGTCCCTCACTGTGTCCCACCATGACCATTCCACACGGCATGCTGCCCGCGAGGGCACCCGCGTGGCAGCAGGTGTCGGGACGGCCTTCCCTTCCACGGCGAGCCGCATTCTGTCCTGCGGGCGGATCGCATCTCGCGCGGTCACCCACCCGTCAGGGGGGCTCTCGTGAGAGCCTCTTGTGAGTTGTGCTGCTTGGGGACGTGGGGATGCGAGAGTTCACTCTGTAGAAAGCCTTGTCTCGGGGCCTTCCCTGGTGTGAGATGTGGGCGTCCTCACGCGGGGCGGAGGGGCCGGCCGGCTGCAGACCCCCTGGCTTCCTGGCTCTGGCCTGGAGACCTCACGTTCACCATTTCGTCCTCCCGGGGGCCCTGTCGGGTGACTTGGGCTTGCTTGGGGTCGCGCCGCTAGCAGAGTCGAGGGGAACTGTACCGCCTGCCTGCGCCAAAGCCATCAGGCCTGTGCCCTTGGTTACTCTTCAGACGCCCGGCATCGGCCGTGTGAGCGGTTTGCCGTGACTGCGGTATTGGAAGAGGAAAGAAGTTTTCACGGGGGAGAACGGTTCGTGGTAGAGAAGGCCTGGGCACCCCGTTGACCCGGGACCACCGATGGGGCAGCCAGTCCGTGGCGTGTGGTTGGGGACTGTGGCCCAGAGCTCTCAACCAGGACTGTCAAAAGCAGCAGGTGCCACAGGAAACGGGACAGGGTGAGGGTCCCGGTGGTGTCCTCTGACGGATGTGACTCAAGGCATTTTCCTGCGGGGCGATGGTCCTTTCTGCCCCTGGCATCTGTGCTGTGCCTCTGAGCCCTGTGATGATCGAGTGCTGCCCTCACCCAACACACGTGCGCGCACACTCACACACACGCACACACACTCACACACGGGCACAGACTCATACACACACGTGCGCGCGCGCACACACACACACACACACACACCCCACAGGTCACGGCCTCCGGGTCAAGGTTTGTGAGCTTGTGTTGCAGGCTCTGGTGTCCCAGCACTGGCCATGGCCTGCTCTTGGGTGTCTGCTCCCTTGAACCTGACCGTCAACAACAGCCTCACTTTAAATTCGGGGCTTGCCTATGTCCATGTTAGGTACAGCGTCCGCCCCCAGGTCCCCTGGCTGAGGACACAGCTCTCCATGGAGTGGTGAGGGGGGGCGCCTTTTCAGGCCCTGTCGCTGGGATTCTAGCTTTGTCCATGTCAGCAGCCTTGGGCGGATCTGGAAGCATTCAGAAGCTTCTGTGTGTTAGCCCTGAATTCCAAAGGGCAGTGTAAACCGACTGGCCGGGCTTGGCGGGCACCGGGAGATACTTGGCGCCAGAGGGAGGAGCTGCAGAACGTGGTCTGGGTTCGGAGCCCTCGTGCGCGGACTCTTTCTGGGCGATGGGCCATTTGGGAATGCTTGTTAAACGCTTACAGAGCAGGAGTCGATCCTGTGTGTTTCTGCTGCAGACACGCAAGGCCCCACTACTCCGTTGACACTGACCCTTGTTTTCCTTTCTCCACAGTGAGCGACCTGCAGGAAGAAGGCAGACATGCCATTAACTCGCCGATGTCCCCCGCCTCGGCGGATGTCCACCCTGAAGACACGCTGTTAGGTACCGTGCGCTCTGCCAGGCCCCCTGTCGTGACGCCGCTGAGCTCCCGCGGTTGGTGAGGCCGAGGAGGAGCTCCAGGGCGACGGCCTGGTGACCAGACATCACGCCAGGCGGCATCCGAGAGTCTGGGCTCTTAGCTCAAGGTCTTGTTTAGAAAAGTAGGTAGGAAGGAAAACCCCATCTTCCTTTGTAAGTTTCTGCCTGTCTGATTTCCCACGTCTGTTGTGTTAGTCGTTACGTCCGATGAGCCCGACAGATCCGGGGTTCAGCCCCATTGAAAATATGGTTTGTTACAAGCGCAGTTCCCGAGGTGGGGGTGGGCCAGCCTTGGGCAGGAGGCTGGAGGGAGGGAAGGGCATGGCCTGTCCTTTCTTGTGGGAGGGACTGGGTGGGGCAGGGTAGGCCGGTGTGGGCTGGCTGGTTGGGATAATCTCTGAGGGCTCTGGGAGCTCTGCTGGGTTGGTGCGCTGGGTGGGGGGGGGGGGGTGGGGGGGGGGGGGTGTTGGGGGGAAATTAGGGCAGGGGCCTGTGGTCTGGGAGTGTGAGAGCCCCTGGAACACATGGCTGCTGGGGGTGGGCTCTGGGTTGGTTGGCCTGCACATCAAGGGCAGTCACAGTGGAATTGTTGGCGGTCTTAGGAATTGGCCAACCCTGGGAGGGACAGTGTCTCCAGGTCCCCAGGCCCTGAGGTGTCAAAGAATTCAAAAATATAGGAAATAAGAAACGTAGTTAATACATCCTAATCTTGGCACAAGCCAGAGCTGTCCTGAGGCCGTGGGCTTGCTGGGTGGGACCCAGCAAGTGCTGAAGGCCCTCTGTACCCAGCTTCTTGGGACCACATCACAGCCAGCGCTGATGAGGTGACAGCACGGACACATTTTCTTAAAGCGTGTTTTGGGATCTGGTCGGTCTGAAAGGCGGTTGTGGAACATTCTGCTTATTTCCAAACCCTGGTTCAAAGGGAAGCCCCGGTTGGTCCCTCCCTTGTGGTTTCCGCGACAAGGCCAGGTCCCCAAGAGCTTGTGGAGAAATGCAGACGCAGGTTCAGCTTGGCGGACCTGAAGCCAAGTGCTGGGCGAGCTCCCTGAGATCCTGCTGGGGTCCACTGTGGCCCCCGTCTCTTCTCGGAGGAAGAGGACTCTTCACCGTTACTGCTGCTGAGTCTGGCTGAAATGCATTCTCTGCGGTGACGCTGTCTCAGGGGAAACTGGGGACTCGCTTGCGGGTCTGGGAATTAGCCAGACATAGACCAGGAGGCTCCACCTCGGCCCTCTGGATACCCGGCACCGGGTAATTCTTTACTTTGGGAAGCTGTCCTGTGTCTTGTGGGGTTTGAGCATCCCCGACCTCTACCCATGAGATGCCACCAGCTGGGACAACCAAAAATGTCTCCAGACATGGCTACATGTCGCCTACGGTGGTGGAAGGACACAGCGGCTCCTGTTGAGAACCCCGATTTAGACTAACAGGAGGGCTAAAAGGCTGGTCCCAGACACATGGCAGGCTCTCATTTTGTTGATAATGCCTTGAATTTGCCTTTCCCTGGGCCCGAACCCTCCCCGTTTTGCCATCTTTATAAACACCTGCTCTCGGGCAGAGGGAGCTGGTGTCATTCAGTTGGTTCCATAAGGTTCTGCTTATCCCTGAAGTCTGTGTGACCTTGAGAAGGACTGACCTGGTCAGCGCCTGGAACTGAGATCTGAAAGGTGAAGGGAACGTGGAGTGGAGGAAAAGGGTATCAGACAGGGAGCAACATGTGCCAAGGCCCTGTGGCAGGCAGTGGTGAGGTTTGCTGAGGAGCAAGGGAAGGCTGGAAGGACCAGAGAGTGGAGAGTGCCCGGGACAGCTGGGGGAGGCGAGGCTGCAGGGGGCCCTGGAGGCCACGTGGAAGGTGCTGGCCTTGGTCCCAGGAGCGCTGGGAGGCTGCTGAGGGCCTTAGCAGGGACATCACAAGGGACCCCCATATGGGGTTACCCCCTCAAGCGTCAGATCTGCATGACTTCAAAAAGTTTTCCACTTTGTCAGGTTTTAAAATTTGATGTTGTGAAGTCAGTCTTCTCAAAGCCATTCTGTTTCCGAGCTCCGTGGGAGCCTGCCTGGGCCCCAGGAGCCTGGTCCTCGCCACCTGTGTGTCCTGCGAGCCCACCCCATGCTCGGGTCCCGAGGCCTCCCTCTCCCCATCCCCTGCGTGCCGTCCGCGGTGCCTCCCACACCCTCCCCTATGCGGGCACTGGCCAGTTTTCTGGATGGTGTCGGACCAGCAGGGGGGCTTTCCCACGCTCTTCCTCTCTACCACGCCCGTCCTGCTGGAGCAGCTCGCTGGGCCCCACTGTCCGTGGATCGAGGCCTGAACATGAAGGGAAAACGGGTAACAAATAAACAGAACAGGGATGAACACATTTTACTGTGAACCGTCACCCATCCCCTCCTTTTTTGCTGTTTTTTCTGGTGCGTGCTATTTTATGTAGTGGGGAGCTTTCTCGGTGCGCGTATTTACTAACAGCGGCCGCGGGAACTTGTACCGCGGACCTATGCGGCCCGTGTGCGTGCCGTCCTCACAGCGTGATCCCACCGAGAGAAGCCTGGCTTCTCGGCACTCTGTCCCCCTTGCTTGGCCGTCCTCCCAGCCCCGCCGCGCCGGCGAGTGCTCACCGGACTCTCTCCCCTCGCAGAGGAGAACGAGGAGCGTATGATGATCGACCCCACCTCCAAGGATGACCCCAAGTTCAAGGAGCTGGTCAAGGTAAGGAGCGCCTCGGTCAGTGCCTTCCTGCTGGGTTGCGACGAGGGGTCAGGGAAGCCGTGACGGGGGGGCTGGGGGCCCCCGTGGTAATTCGGTGTGACAACGGCAGCTCCTGTCTCCTGAGCCTGGTTTCTGAGCCCGGGCTCCGCGGTGAGGCTTGACTGGTGGCGTCTGTGCGTGTCCGAGTGCTGATGGCGGTTCTCATTGTTCTAATCGAAACCACGGTGGGGCTTCAGAGTTAATCCCCGCAATGGAGGAGCGAAGGCTCTGGTGTGGCCGCGTCCTCGCCGGGTGGGACCCAGCTCTGCGGCAGAGCTGGTGCCTGTGGGAAAGCTGTCACTTCTGCAGCCCAGGGTGGACGCAGGAGACCCCCAGGCTCTGAGGACACTGTCTGTCACAGTCTGTGCCACCGACACTGGCCATTAGAAGTGCTTTTCAGAATGTTTCTCCACCTTAGCTGGCGCTGCTGGACGTGAGACGGCGTGGAACCGTGTTCTCACGGGGGCTGATGGCAGGAACGGGAAAGCGTTTGCCAAATTGTCTTCTGGTAAAAACTGACCTCGTAAAGGCCCGTGTTAGGGCCCAGCCAAAAATGCTGGGGCTCCCTTGCTTTGCTCAGTCTGCCAGTCACATTCTAACCTCTTCCTCAAACATCCTCGCAGACCCAGCTAGAGGGAACGTTGACTCCAGCGTCCAGGCCTTCCGTGGCCGAGTCGGGCGGACAGTTGGGATTGACGGCCACACACGCCTTTCGGCTTTCTCCTTCTTCAATGTTGGAGCAAAGCTGGGGAGTTCACGAGCATCGCTTCCCTGAAACACCCCAGGGGAGCTGGTGCCGTCCTCACGTCCACATGAGGACAGAGGGGAGAGCCCTCCCCCCGCCAGGTTATACCTGTTACAGGCGTGTGCGGGCTGAACGGGTCTGGTCATCTGGGACCTTGTTTGTTCAGCCGGGGTTGAACACTGGGCACTGGGCTGGGCCCTGGGCGTGCTGGGATGAGCGGATTGCCCTCTTCCTGTGTGAGGTCTGCTTTGTGCTCCTGTCGGATTCACCTGACCCGACCGGGCTCTGTTGTGCCGCCATGACTTCTTCTTCTTCTTTTTTTTTTTTTTTTAAAGATTTTATTTATTTATATGACAGACAGAGATCACAAGCAGGCAGAGAGAGAGAGAGAGAGAGGAGGAAGCAGGCTCCCCGCTGAGCAGAGAGCCCTATGCGGGGCTCGATCCCAGGACCCTGAGATCATGACCTGAGCCAAAGGCAGAGGCTTAACCCACTGAGCCACCCAGGCGCCCCTACCGCTGTGACTTCTAAGCCCACAGGGTGTTTTGGGCGCTGTGGGGTGAAGGCTGGTCAGCTGCTTGTCCTTCAGCAGCCCACGCAGAGGGGACCGTAGCATCTCTGCACCCAGGGCCGGCCCCATGGGACCTGTGTGGGCTCTGGCTCCCCAGCTCTTCCGGATTCTGGATTTGGCTGAAGGGCCATGCTGCAGGGGACGGGGTGTGCTGATTAGGGGGGCCGCAGCATGGGCAGGCCTGCACCCCATCAGACAAAGTCGGCTGGAGGACCAGAAGGCACCGGAGACAGAGAGCCTCTCCCTTGCTTCCCTGCTGGGTGGCTGGGAGGGCCACGGCGCCGCACTCGGGATGCTGCATGGCTGAGCACGGATGGGTTTTCTTCCCAAGTTGTGGTCAGCTCAGGGGTGCCCCTGCCTCACCTCCCTTCCTGCTCACTCTTGCTAGCTTGGGCTTGTCCCCTACCCCAGCAAGGGAGCAGCAGTGAGCTTGGCCCTGGGCGCTCTTTCTGGGGAGCCCAGGGGTGGTGGACTGAGTCACGGCCCCCCAGGCTGTCCATGTGAATCTTACCACCTCCTGTGGCAGAAGGGACTCTGGGGACGTAATGCAGGGGTCTTGGTTTGGGAGATGACCCTGGGCCACTCCTCTTTGGGAGGCTGTCCCGCCGGCCTGCAGGACCTGTGCCAGGAGATGGACAGTTTCTGGAAGGTTCTGCCTGCTCCCAGACTGCAGGCAGCATCTCGAGGCAGGCTGGAGGCCTATTTTTCACTTTATCACGCCTTTTCCAAGTAAGCGTGAACATGGCAAGCAGGACGGCGGTGCCGGGTTGGCCGGCTGGGGATCGTTAGTCGCTGTGGTGGTGGGATGGAGGGGTGTGCGGGAGGTACTAGTCCTCACCGACTAGCGCGGGTGGGCGGTGGCTCCTAGGATGCCGGGGCTGGGCTTTGGCTGCCCCTGGTTCCCTCGTGTTTGCCGTGTGCGTGGGTTACTGGCTAGGGGGCCCCGGGCGTGCCCCTGAATCAGGGTCTGCTGCCGTCAGCACCAGCTTTTCCTCGCGGGGGGCGTAGCCATTCCCCAGGCCACAGTGGCCTGTGCCCGGGGTGGGGGAGCCCAGCCCGAGTCACTTCCTGCCTCCCCTTTCGGCTCATCATGGAGCCTGTGCCTACCCAGGTGTGAACCCCCAAGCCCTACCCTCACTTCTGACTAGTTATAAGTTTGGGTCCCCAAATCGACCTGTGGGTTTGACACTAGACAGACTCGCAGAAGTCACCAAATGCTGCCGCACTCGCTGTTAGGGTTCATCCCAGCGAAAGGACACAGGTGAAAACCAGCTGGGGGAGGGGCACCCAGGAGGGCACTGAATGTGGCATTTCCAAATGTCTTCTGGTGGCATGGTGGACAGCGTCACTTACCGGCAGTGATATGACAGCGTTCCCTGAGCATTGCTGGCCAGGGAAGGTCCCCAAGCCTCATGTCCAGAGTGTTTGCTGGGCTGCCACCCTGTAGGCATGACTGACTGTCCTGGGGACCAGCCCGTCTCCCGGCCTCTCCTGTGACGAATAGAGTGTGACCCAAAGCCCCAGCCTAAACCAGGTTAGTCCTTTTTGGCCAGCCCTAGGCTGTCATGCAGCCGCTCCGGCAAGACGCTCCGGGGGCCCTGAGGCACAGGCCAGTCTGCACTCCGGGCAAGGTTAGGGTCTGCACCTGGCCAGTGCTCTTGTGGCCCCCAGCATGGAGAATGCTGTTCCACCTGTCCCTTTTCTCCTGATGTCCCGTCCGGAGACACCCCACCTCTGTGCCCTGGCTGGTTTTCTGTCCCTGACCTCCCTGGCCTGGAACGGTGCACTTACTGGTCTCCTCCCTCTCCACTGGAAGCCTCTGCACTGGGCGCCAGATTTCGCTCCCAGCTGACTCCGCAGGTCCCGCACCCAGGTCCCACCCGCAGGAGGAGGAGTGAGTGTGTCAGAATGTCTGAGGGACAAGGCAGGTCTTTTTGGCCCACCCCAGACCTGTGGAGTTGGAATCTTGGGAAAGGGGCTCTGGGAGCCTGGGGCGAGGGTTGGGGCCCTTGTGAATTGGGTGCTGACGCAGGGGGTCCCAGGAAACGCCCCCCCCGCCTTGAGAAAGGGGACTGTGAATGGCCAGTCTTGGTGTTTCCAACAAAACACCTCCATGCACGTGACCTGCGTGGTTCTTACTGCTTTTCAGACCCGCTCTCTGCACCGTGGACTCTGCTTGTCCACGCTGCTGCTGCTTTTTTGCGGGGATTCTGCTCCGAAAGGGTGTTTTCAGTGGGGAGCGTGGGCCACACGCTGGCTGAGCTGGTCACGGGTGAGATCAGTGACACTGGCCACGTCCCAGTCTGGGCGCCCGAGGGGGCCATCTCTGAAGCAGCGTGGTCAGCGCCCTTGTTTTCTTGCTCTGTTCCCAGTCATCTGCTCTTTTTCCCCTCTTCTCTCGGCCCCCGTCCTGTCTCCCTCTGTAGACTTAGCCCCGTGACCCCGCTGCCGCAGGACTGTCACCGTTTACAATATTGCCCGCTGCCCTCTGCTTCCCAGGAGAAAAGCACCTTGGCTCAGGCCACGCCGGGCATTACGAATGAGACCGTTCATTCAGAAATTCTCTCCGAGGATCTGTTGTGCCTCCCGTGGCGTTAAGGGGTGAAGGGGGCGAGGGCGCTTGGAGTCCGGCTTCCTTAAATCAAATCTGGTGAAAGTGGGAAAAGCACGAGCGCCGTGGCAGGTGCGGAGTTCGGAGCTCGAGCGCGGCCGGGGCGCCGTGGGCAGAGGGGCAGGGGCAGGTCTGATGTGGGAACTGGGCCGTGGGTGCGAGCGTCCTGCGGGTTCTAGAGGCTGGAAGACCTCCCGCAGCGCCCTCCCCGCTGGCGTTCTGGGCCCCAGGCCTTTGCTCTAGCATCCTCCAGAAGCTTCCTGGACCACCCAAGGCCAAGCAGCTCCTGCGGCCCTGGGCGGTGTGCAGTCTATGGATGAGAGAGTTGATGGTTTTAATGATCCTCGAAAGACGGCATGGCAGTCCTCCTGCCTTCCAGAACCAAGAGCCAGAGGAAGAAGCCAGCGCGCTCAGAAGCACGCTGGGCCAAGGCGAGCTAACCGTGTCGTTAACCGGGGTGCACCGTCCTCCCTGTGAGCAGATTTCACATCTCATTTCCCAGTTTATTGGACAAGACTCTTCCTGGCTGTGCAGTTGTTTTCTTCCTTCCTGTGTCCCTGTGAAAAGAGAATCAGTTGCAGAAAAAAATGATCCCCTGGGCGGAGGGCGGTGTGTTGGAGCTGAGCCGTGTGGACATGCCCCGGCGCTGCGTCCCGGCGTTTGCACCCGGCTGGGGCCGGCCCCCCTCCTGCTGCACCCCGGCCCGCGTCCGTGGAGGAAGCAGCCGGAGAGCCTGTTTGGAAGTGATTAAAACGTAACTGTCATAGCTTTGGGGGAGACAGGCCGCAGATCCTGATTATCCTTCGGGGGAAGGAGAGGACAAGTAATTTTTTATTCTGCTTAAGGCAAGCCTGTGAAAAACACGAGCTGAGGGCATCGTCAATGTAGGTCCTAGACGTTTGCGGCAGGATTTGGGGTTTGCAAATGAGTACGTCCAAGAAATAATGATTGGTACTATGTTGAAAAAGCCTTGCGAGAAACGGGATTAAGACGGGGGGGAGTGGGGGAGGAGGATGGCAGTGCTTCGCGGTGTC